ACATGGTTTTACCATGTTTCTCAGGCTGGTCTTCAACCCCTGAGCTCAAGGGATCCGCTCACCTTGACCTCCCAAAGTGCTGGAATTACAGATGTGAGCCACCATGCCTTGCCTCGTTTCTTTACTTTTTATGTTTCCCCTCCTTTGCACATCATGAGCTCCAATTTCTTGAAGTCTTCCATTCAGAAGACATCTATGGGAAGCTGAATAATTTATTTTCATGCAACTTCATGCATGCCGTTCATGCATGGGTGTATGTTTTTCTCCTGTATTTATGTAGGCAAGAAGCAGGTGAAAAATTAGGTTTAACCGGCATTTGGGGGAATTCAAAGGGATTTACTTGAGAAACCAGCCAGGCCTGGTACATTTCTTTTGGGAGTGGTTGTGCATGGTAATTGGCCACGTTATGAGAGGCTCAGGGGATGGTTGTCAAGCTCCACTGACCCCACCCTCCCCACTCCTATAAAAAACAAAAAAAATACTAGAGTCGTTCACCTCAGAGTGTTATGTTTTTGTTTTTATTTTGTTTTTTGAGATGGAGTCTCACTCTGTCACTCACGCTGGAGTACAGTGGCATGATCTCCGCTTACTGCAACCTCTGCCTCCTGGGTTCAAGCGATTCTCCCACACCAGCCTCTCAAGTATCTGAGATTACAGGTCGGTGCCACCACACCTGGCTGAGTTTTGTATTTTTAATAGAGACGGGGTTTTGCCATGTTGACCAGGCTGGTCTTGAACTCCTGACCTCAGGTGATCCTCCCACCTCAGCCTTCCAAAGTGCTGGGATTACAGGCATGAGCCACCACACTCAGCCCAAAGTGTTATTTTAATTTACCAGATTAATAATCTCCTACTTGTCCTATACACCAAAGCTAAATGACCGCTAATGAGATCAGCCAAGAACTTCACAATTCTGAGCAAGCCTAGAGATCAGCAGCTCCTGTTGATTGCTGATGTGATACCTTGGTTCTTGTCTTCTTGGCTTAAAATAATTTAAATAGGAGACACACAGCAAAGGAGGTGTAGCATAGAGTAATTTACTGCAAAAGAAAAATAATATTTTGAAAGCTAAGTGCAGAATAGTTGATATAATTTGGCTGTATCCACACCCAAATCTCACCTTGAATTGTAATCCCCCTAATCCCCATGTGTCAAGGGCAAGGCCAGGTGGAGGCAATTAAATCATGGGGGTGGTTTCCCCCATGCTGTTCTCATGATAGTCAGTGAATTCTCACGAGATCTAATGGTTTTATAAGCATCTAGCATTTTTTCTGCTGGCTCTCATTCTCTCTCCTGCCATCCTGTGAAGAGGTACCTTCCATCATGATTATAAATTTTCTGGGGCCTCCCCAGGCATGCTGAACTGAGCGTCAATTAAACCTCTTTTCTTTATAAATTACCCAGTCTCAGTTATTTCTTCATAGCAGTGTAACAATGGACTAATACAACAGTACGCCCTGAGAGAGTTCAGGGCAGGCTGCATGTAAGGATGAGACCGCAAAGACTGGCACTAGGGGACTCCCTTTCTGGGAGTCTTACATGATTATTCATAAGAAGGTGGGAAGAGGTGCTGCTAGTAAGCATGTTCTGGGGGATCCTCTGCGTGCACATGTGCAATAGCCATACATGTTTGTTCATACCTTGTGTGCCTCATAGGCATCTTAAATCTCCACCCAGGGGTGGGTCTTTTACTATTATAACGAGCAAAGGGTCAGTCTGAGGACAAGTAAAATCAAAAATGTACATGCTGTCTAGAGGGGAAAGTCTCTACTGAAGATAGCTTTGCTTAAATGAGCTGTTACAATGTGAGTGCTGAGACTCATTGTGTTGACTGTGCGGTCATCATGGTTGCTGCCTCCTAAGAACACGGTCACTTCCTTGACTACCTATCCTGCCTCACTCCCAGGGACAGGACTGTAGCCAGCACTGTACTGATGAAACACAGCTGGGCAAACCATGCACCCCACCTGCTGACATGCTTCCCTCCCATCACTTCCACAGACTGGAAGACAGCAGGGCAAATGGCAGACTGGAGGCCCAGATCACCAAGTGAAGTTCAGTTTCAAATGCTCTGGGCATCTCCAAAGTTCTATGAAGGAAAAAGCAAAACAAAACCTGATCCAAAATGGTCCATTTTCTAGCAAAATATGTGATAAAGAACTGACGCTAGAAGATATAGAGTATCTAAAAGGACCAATAAACACAAGAAAAAATAATAAAAATGACTATCCTATCCAACCTCCCACCCCAAAATGCCAAGGGCATATGGTTCCCCAGGTAAATTTCTTTAAACCACCAAACTCTTGGTTAAATCCATTTTTTTTCACCTGTTCTGGTACGTATACCACCACAACAGAGCAAACAAGGAAAAAGCACTGCCAAATTCAATTAATGACTGCTAAACTCAACAGGCTTTTAAATTCTGCCTAGCAATAAAATTTTATTTCCCTGGACCCCACATACTCCTCCTTCTAGACAACCCTCTCACATCTTTCTCTTAGAACTTCCATCACCTCCATCATCTCTCCCATCCTCATCCTCAGCTGATGACCTGACTTCATAGAAAAATAAAAACAACCAGAAGAGAACATCCATGAGCCCCCTCCTCTATCACGCCCATCCACCTGTTTGTATCTGTACCATGTTCTCAGCCTCCCTTCCTGTTTCAGACTGTCTGTGCTTCTGTCTAAACTCACACCCCCTCCATTTACACACCATATTCCGTCCCCTCTCACTTACACAAGGACACCACTCCAACTATATTTTGCTCTCTACTGGATCATTCCTGTCAGCATGCAAGTCAGTTATAATTTCTCCCTCATTAAAACATGCAATTGGATCAGATCCAAGATGGCCATTTAGGAACAGCTCAGGATTGCAGCTCCCAGCGAAAGCGCAGAGGGTGAGTGGACGCAGCATTTCCAGATGGATTTTTATTGCCCACAGATTCCCAGGTGGAGGAGCCCCACAGGTCGCCAGCATGACTGTTTTGGCCGGTGTGGCCATTTAGGTCCCCACGGCTGTTTTGGCCTATGCGGGCGCGGCTGCTTTGCGGCGTCCGGCACAGCAGTTCTCTGTACAAAATACACTGGTCTGGGTGCCCTTTTAGCTGGCGATTGGAGCCCCGAGAAGGTGCAGTCACCCATTCATCTGACTAAAAAGGGGTCTGAAACAGGGAGCCAGGCCAGGAGATTCCCGGGCAAAAAAAAAGAAAAGCCCCACGAATCTCAGTGCCACTGTTTAAGCTGGCACAGTGAATCGCCGCAGGGGAAATCAAACAGATCCCGGCGCCTTTTCAACAGGCGACTGGAACATCTGGGAGAGTCGAACACCTGGGAGAATTGACTGTTCAACTAAAAAACAAAAGGCTCTGAGGCAGGGAGCCAGGTGATCAGGCTCGGCTGGTCCTACCCCCACAAAAGAACAGCAATCAGAAACTCTTTGGATTGAGAGTTTCACAGCAAGCACAGCTGAACCTGGGACGGTCCAGCTCTGTGGGGGAGGGGTGTCCACCATTGCCAAGGCACTCCACCACTATGGAGGTAGTCCCCCATTGCTGAGGCAGCCAGCCATTGCCGAGGCAACCCACCATTGCCAAGGCAACCTGCCATTATAGTGAGAGTCCGCCATTACAGAGGCGGGCCACCAATGCTAAGACAGTTCTAACTACACCCATGTAAACAGGACTGCAGGGAAGTTCACACAACAGCTGGGGGGAGCCCACAGCAGCTCAGCAAAGCATCTGCAGGCAGACAGTGACTAGGCTGCCTCCTTGCTGCGCAGGGCAGCCCTGAAAAAAAGGCAGCAGCACAGCAGAAACTCATAAATAAACCCCTAACTCCCTGGGACAAAGCACAAGGGGAAAAAGAAAGGTGTTTATCAGTTCTGCTGCAGCAGACCCAAACGTACCTGTCCAGCAGCCCTGAATGAAAAACGGAGCTCACAACTCAGCACTTGAGCTCATGTAAAGGACAGACTGTCTCCTCAAGCAGTTCCGTGTCCCCCGTATAGCCAAAGAGTCACCTCATAAAGGAGAGATCAGACTGACATTTAGTGACTATCCTTCTGGGACAAAAATAACAGAAAAAGAAACTGGTAGCAACCGTTACTGTTTGGCAGCAGCTGCAGGTGATCCCCAGGCAAGCGGCCTGGAGTGGACCTCAGCAGACCTACAGCAGAGAAGCCAGACTGTTAGAAGGAAAACTAAGAAACAGAAATAACTTCATTATCAACAAATTGGACGTCCACTCAGAGACCCAATCTGAAAGTCAGCAACTACAAAGACGACAGGTGGATAAATCCACAAAGATGGGAAGAAACCAGCACAAAAAGGATGAAAACACCCGAAACCAGAACACCTCTCTTCCCACAAGGGATCACAACTCCTCACCAGCAAGGGAATAATGCTGGATGGAGAATGAATGTGATGAAATGACAGAATCAGACTTCAGAAGGTGGGTAATAAGGAACTTCCGTGAGCTAAAAGAACATGTTCTAACCCAATGCAAAGAAACTAAGAACCTTGAAAAAAGATTTGATGAAATGCTAACGAGAATGGACAAATTAGAGAGGAATATAAGTGAATTGATGGAGCTGAAAAACAACACGAGAACTTCACGAAGCATGCACAAGTTTCAACAGCTGAA